CAGCATTTATGACAGCAAGAAATGAATATCTCTTCCTGTTTATGAATAGATAGAGAGAGTGACTGTAGCACATGGGAGGAAAGGCTAAGTGGATCATTAGTTAAAATACACCCAAGGGATTTTACTGGGGAAATGCCAGGAAATCTCAAAGATTATCTTACTCCAGACTTGTTTGTCTAGCATCTCAGCTAATGTTTACGGAGCTCCTAATGTGCGCCAGGGTCTGTAATTAGTCTAAAGGTTCAGATCCCAAGCCCTCTGTTCGCTCTTTGACCTTGGACAGTTGCTTAACGTCTTCAGGGCTCTGCTGTAAGGCTCACGCAGATGATAAAAAAGAAGAGATCCTGATCCCTTCTTTGAAAGTGGCTGGAGTATGATTATAGGTAAGGAACACACATAAATGCCCAATAGAGGGCCTGGCACCTGGGAGGCCTTCAACTAAGTCTCAGCCTCCTCTTTCTCACCATTCTTTCTTCTGCCTAATTAGAATTAGAATAATTCCCAAAATGCCTATGATAACAGGTGATGGTCAGGTCAAGTCAAGGATTACCAATCAACATATAAAATAAAATACAATAAAAGTGAAAATTCTCTGACCTACAGGAACTAAGGGAAGTAGGAGAACCCAGCTTGTTTAATTAGGATGGCAGTGGGCATCTCACTCTCCCACTGGGATAACACCCATGGGCATATACATTTATCTTTTCAGACTCTGGCTCCTGGCTCCTCTATTTCTAGAGCCATAACTATGATCCATGCAGAGCCAGATGAAGAATTTTAGAGGCCCTTGTACTAAAAGATCATGACTACCTACCTCTATGTAATTCAAACTTTAAAAACCATGAGCAAAAAGATCTCTGTCCTAGATGTTTAGATTGCAAAACTCTGGCTGAATTTGTAGCATCTGAACTTTACATCTTCTGCTCTCATTTACTTTACATCTTCTGCTCTCTTTTCTTCCTCTATCTTCCTGGTGCCTAAAAATGTGCACGTTCTCCCAATGAGATAATCCGGCAGAAGTGCCTGGCACGTCCAAGGCACTGAGAATACAGTGGTGAACAAACAGGCAGACTAGGGCCCCACCTGTAGGGAGCTTGAATTCCACTAGAGAGAGAAAATTGTTAAGTACACAAATAATAAAATTAGATCCTGGTTCTCAGCCAGTGGTTTGAAATCGAAGTAAATCTCATTCTTTAAACGTGGTCTTGGGCCCCACATCTATTCAGAATTAGACACTAATGTTGCAGTAACAAGCACCCTCGGGAATCACTGTCTTGTTAGTACCCCCAAAATAACCCAGAAGTGATGGCACTGAGGGTAAGGGTAAAACACAGTTAGACAGTGTATCGGCCTGGTGTTGCCAGCAACCACCTTAAGAGCAAATATTGGGACAGCTTCAATGCATACACCTTTTCCCAAATAAGCTTTTATTTCATCCTCTCAAATCTCCTCATTCATTCTTGCTTCCTGTTAAAATAGTCTCCCTCCCATGATAGACAGTCATTATTAAGAGAAGCAGAAACAATAGGCTCAGACGTTGTTCTTAAAGAGAAAGGCTCAACTGATGTTCTTGTGGACTCTTGGAATGTTTGTATCTCAACACCTGGCAACTGTCACTGTCCCCGCCCTCAGATGTTGCATGGCGTTCTGCACCACTACAATCCATACCTGAAAATAAAATGTGTGCCCAAGTAATAGAGCACAGCAAACATGGAAATGTGTCTATATCCCAAACACATGCTAATGACAGTGGGATTCTGAGTCAAAAAAAGAATGCTTCAAACTTTTAGCTGAGTATCTGCTTAGAAGATACTGAAGAGAATGAAATGAACCCAAAGAAGACCACCCAGGACAAGTATCCTTTCCTACACAGGAGGATTCACTCAAGATCTCTCTGACTCTCTTTGAGAACCCCATCTTCAGTTTTCTGACTTGCCAAAGGATCAATTCCTTTATCTGCTTGGTAAATACAAAGTAAGGTGATAGGCTATAGAATAAGCTTCTCCACTCCCTGAGCCCATCCAGAGTCATTGATGGGTTTAGGTTTTTAAAAACCATTGTAGACATGACCCTGTGCTCAGCGTATATGCTGTATTCATTTGGCAGTAGAAAGCCTTGCCATTTTCCAACTGCCCTCACTTTCTGTTGGGCCACCTTACTCTTGCACAAGCTATTGGCCTTGTCTAGAAGGCCCATTGCCTCTTTTATCACCTGGATAATACCTGAAGAATCTGTGAGAGACTCAATTGAGGAATAATTTTCCTTGATTCCCCCACTTCTGGATCAGGTCTCTCTTTCCTGAATTCTGGACTTGCCCCACTGAATGAAACTGCTGGTACTTATTTGTCTACCTCACTAGAGAAGGAACTTGTCCAATGCAGTGGGTTTGGGATTTGAGATTCTGGAGTGGCGTGGCCTGAGTTAAAGTCCTACTCCTCTAATTTGCAGGTGTGGGATGTTGGGAGAGTTCTTTATCCCCCCCCCCGCCCCGTTTTCAACATAAAGATATGAACAGCACCTTCCTTAGGGTGTTGTTATGAAGCTGAAAGAGAATGTGCCCGTGACGGGCTTAGTAGAACAGTGCCCCTACTCATCCCATAAAGGTAGATACACTTGCTGCATTTTTCAGATCCCTTGAATCATTCCCAGCACACAGAGAGCTGGGAATTCAGAGAGCTTAGACAGGAGTAGATAATGGATAACAAGACTGGGAGGGTCAGTTTGGGACTTTGAATGCCACATTGAGTTAGGACTGCGTCTTGAAGGCCTTGGGGAGCCACTGAAGGTTTATGAACAGAGTTGTGTCTCAATAAAGTGATTCTTTAAGAAAAGCCCCCTGAAGGTGGGCAAGGAAATAGACCAGGGAAAGGGAGAAACCCAAGGCATGAAGACCTTATCAGAAAGGGAGACCTATCAGAAGGATCCAGGAGAGCAGCATTCCTAAGCCTGGAGTGTAGCATGATGAGAAAAACTGCAAAGCAGAAATGACAGCTCTTAGGTTTGGGGAAGAAGAAAGGAGCAATCAGGTCCAATAATCAAGGGGAAGCAGGGGCACCATTAGTAACAATCGGGAAGTGGAGGGAAAGGGGCTTCAGGAACCATGAAGTCTGTTAATCATTCAAAGACAAGATTGCTGCTCTCAAGAGAGCTTCCAGTAGAGGTTGGGTAGCATGGCTTGGAAGAGAAAATATTCTGGTCTGAGTTGTAACAAGATTACTAATGTCACACAACTGCTCACAGATCTAGACTCACCAGTGACACAGTTAAAGCCACATGACCAGAAAGATGGAAAGAAATCCAGGTACCCAACACCACAGCACAGACATGTACAAATGTACAGACACCAAACGCATCAATCCACACTCTCTTCCACTGGGAGAGCTGAGTCCTCTCACACTCACACAGACACACATCTCTCATTCACAAGACAGTCTTTCCTCTGTATCTGCAGGGATTGATTCTAGAACCCCAATAGATGCCCAAATCTGTAGATGCTCCAGTCCTTTATATATAATAGCACAACATTTGCCCATAATCTACATGGTCCCTCCCATGTACTTTACACCATCCTAGATTACTTATGGTACCCAAACGACATCATTGCTATATGAATAGTTCTTATATTGTATTGGGTTTTATTTGCTTTATTTTTCATTGTTGTATTATTTTCTTTTTTTTTTTATTGAATGGTAACTATGTACATTAATGCACTTCTGGGGTACAGTGTGGGGTTGTCACACACAATCCGAAATGCTTCCATCAAACTGGTTAACACAGCCTTCATGTCATTTTCTTAGTTATTGTTCTAAAACGTTCACATTCTACTCTTAGAAAGATTCACTTGTACCCTTGTAAGTTAAACCTCAGACGTGATCCCTCTGTTGTATTATTTTCCTTATGGTTTTTCCCAAATACTTTTGATCCATAATTGGCTGAATCCACACATGTGGAACCCACAGAACCTGACTGTATACTCACAACACACACACACACACACACACACACACAGATTTTAAGATGTAAAACAGATCAAGTATTCATGGCTACAGGAGGATTGCTTTGTTAGTGGAAGCTGTGTAGTTACAAGAACCAAATCAGAAGAGTATGTTGTATCAAAATCGTATTAGAGAAGGTTTCAGGAAAACATTGCAAAATGAATGATAGTGGTATTATTCCTAAGCTAAGAGCTTCCTCTTTGCTCTTAAGGTTTATGTGCAGGCAGGTGAGCAGTTTCTCCATTTTCTGTGTATTCTTTACTCCGACTCATACACTTTCTGATTTGATCATCATCTCAATCCTGAGAAAAATGTAGGGCTATGGATATTATTATTCCTGCCACACAAATGAGAACACCAAAGCTCATATAGGAAAACTGTCTTGCTCAAGACCACGTTGTTAGTAAATGGTGGAACCAGGATTCAAATTCATATCTGTCTGCCTCCAAGGCAGTTACTCTTCTGCTGTCACGTGGTATTGGAAATGGCTCACAAGCTTAGGGTTGCAATGATTTTTTAAAGGTCTTTATTGCACAGAAACAAGGAAGAATTGTTGAAGCTGATGAGAAGGGCACCATAGCCATTATTTCTTTTTTCTGTATCGTTTTTTAAGAACAGTTCCAATTTTTAAATTGTGGAGAAGAAAAGAGAAGAAAGCATGTGCTATTATTTGTTCAAATAATGGAAGCAATGACCAGATGCTGAGGTCCCCTAGAATAGAACAAGAAAAGCTCTTAGGAAAGAATTTTAAAGCTTCAGAGACAAGCATAAGAGAGAGAAAGGTCACTGGGAACACCAGAGAAGGAAAATGGAGAGCTAAGTAAGGTACCAGGTTCCCATCAACAAAACTATTTTTATTCCCGTTTTCCTCATTGCAGAGTTCCCCGGCTGGGTGTCAGGGGCACCTTAATCATACTGGTGCTATGGGCACAGCAGTATGGAGTGTTGGGGGTCACAAGGACCACAGACAGTCAGTCTGAACTATATCTATTTCCTCCCCAACAGGCTCTAAAAGAACAGGAGTTTGGACTTTCACACCAGCGAGCTTGTAAGTGTGTTCATCTTTGATGCCTTTTCTCATGGGGAACAAAAAACTTTCTAGTAGTTCTGGTTGGTCTTTAATTACCAAGTCACTAAGCAAGTGATGCAAACTCAGAGGAGAGGGGCGTCCCCTCCCTAGGCACTAAGAAGGCAAAATGGCCATGGCCAAGTGCCTGGCCTTTGGAGACAACAGCCAGAATTCAAACCCCAGCTCTGGCATTTACTAGCAGTATGACTTTTGGGCAAATAATTTCACCTGTCTCTGCCTCCAACTTATCTATAAAAATGGTTATAATAATACCTACCCAACAGTGTTAGTGTGAATTAAAAAAATGAATTCCTAAAAAGGGGTTAAAACGATGGGTAGTATATCAAAGGTGTGCTGTGGATTTTTACCATCATCAACATCATTTTTATTGCTAAAGATAGAACATACTTAATTCAATATAATCATCTGTGAGAACTGAAGGGAAATTCTAAGGTTTTCCTGAGCACTAACAGGGAAACAGAGGTCCAAGATCCAGAGAGAAAAAGGACCTCCAAGGTCATACAACTGCATAGCATTTCCCCTGCCCACTCCCCATCCCATTTCTGTTGGGGCAGCCATATACTCAGTGATGTAATTAAAGTGCCCATGAAGAAACCAAAAATCCAATTAGCTCCCAAGGAAGCAGCTTGAGTGAAGGAGCAGCACGTTGGGTTTCACTGAGCTCTGACCACATGCCAAGAATCATACTGAACAGTCTCCATCTGTGGCAGGGATGGGTGACTGTGCCCATCTTAGAGATGAGAAAACAGAGTCCCAGAAAGGCTAGATAACTTAACCAAAAGCTGTGTGGTGATTCACTGGCATTCAAGACTCTTTGCTCTGAGTCTCCCCTGTCCTCCGTGGTGCTTGCTGTGGGCACCACATTCCAATTCCAAACCCACAGAGAGTGGACCAGATCAAGCTGGAGGAGAGGTTCCTCTCCTGTCCCAGATACCCTGCAACTCCCAAAGTTCCCTCTGTGGTCATGTTTTGAATCATCCCAAGCACATTTCTCCTTCCGTTACAGACACATCTTTCAGAGATGATGGAGATAAGCCAAGGGCACACCTCACAGGTAAGCCTCCCTCCTGTGTTCTCCAGGAGACCACGGGCCATGCTCCTGAGATATCGTTCAGCATATTTACCAAAACTCATTCCAGAAGCTTAAAACTGGAAACTACACCCCTTGGTGTAACAGATTCCTCCTCTCATTGGAGGGTTTTTGAATGTCTTTCTCCTTGGCAGCTGGTCAGGGGGGGTGACACCCATGTCTTGTGGGCATTTTCTTTTTTTTAATTTTTATTTATTTATTAAATGATAACTGTGTGCATTGATGCATTTATGGAGTTCAGTGTACTGATTCAATATACAATGTGAAATGCTTACATTGAACTGATTAACACATCCATCACCTCACTTACCTGTTTGTTGTGGTTAAGACAATTAGACTCTTTTCTTTTGTGGGCACTTTCTTACAGATTCTATCAGCTCTCTCTCTCTCCTGTCTCTCTCTTTCATTCACACACACAGTCATTCAGAAATGGCTTTCCTCAGACTCAGAGCTTCAAGTAATTCTGGCTCTGGTCACAAGTGAAAGTTTCCCTGAGTTGCCAATCTATCCAGTCCATCTGTCCCCTATTCGAGATAATGACATCACTGAATATTTACATTAGGGAAGGGGTTTCCAAAGAATTTTCATTGACATGAAGATATCGAGAGGAATCTCATACTATCACCAGTTGGCCAGTTTCCCAAGGCTAGTATGAAAATTCCTGGCACTCCCACCTAGAGTTCACATACATCTGAGACTCCAGGGGAAAGAGCAAGACAATGCAGAAAGATAGGTAAAAACCTGTTGGAAACCTAGAGCAGGAAAAGCAAGTGTATTCTCCTGACCTATAAGAAAATTTACAGACTCCCGGGGAATATCCTGTGATCTAAGACATTGCCATTTCTAAGAAGAAATTGTTTGTGGTCAGTCCTGAGTGAGGATTAGGACCCAAGGAGGTGCCAAGTTGCCATCACTTAACCCTTGCCTGTAAGACAAGCATTGTGTTCTGATGGATCAGTGGGGATAAAATGGTTCACCTAATAATTTATGAATCAAAGGATGGGGATTTGGAAGGTCTGGTGTCTGGCCTTGTCATACGTCCACAAGAGGGGCAACTGTAAGGAGTCTTATCTGTGTCATTTGGGGAAGGATAATTATTTGCAGTAGGCCATTTTCCTGAACATAAAAGAGTGGGAGGATTTTTTAGCCTTCACTGTTTTCCAGGATCATAAGTCTCAGATAAAATTCAAAATTGTCAGGTCAGGCAGTTCAAGCTCAGAGAGGCAAAGTAATTTGCCCCGGATACAAGCCCAAGATGCTCCTCTCTTTGAACAACTGTGTACCTCCACTCATATATCCTTTCCCCAGTCCTCCCCAAGGCACTCATCAGCTGTTGATTATATTCAACCATTTTTCTCTCCTTTGAACATGATATCAGACTTTTTTTTTTTTAATCAAAGTCCACAGGTTGCAACAGGAGCAAATTAAACTTCTCTCTTGTCCTTGCAGTTATGAAACAAACTCCCACAAACCCCTTAAACAATCAGTTTCCAGCTCTGCACTGGGAGCATGAACTTGGCCTGGCCTTCACCAAGAACAGGATGAACTACACCAATAAATTCCTCGTGATCCCAGAAGCAGGAGAGTACTTCGTCTACTCCCAGATCACATTCCGAGGGCTTGCCTCCGAGTGTGGTGAGATCAGCCAACATAGCCAAATAAAGAAGCCAGACTCCATCACTGTGCTCATCACCAAAGTAACAGATAGGTACCCAGAGCCCACCCAGCTCCTGATGGGGACAAAGTCGGTGTGTGAAGTAGGCAGCAACTGGTTCCAGCCCATCTACCTAGCGGCCATGTTCTCCTTGCAAGAAGGGGACAAGCTGGTGGTGAACGTCAGTGACATCTCTTTGGTAGATTACACAAAAGAAGATAAAACCTTCTTTGGAGCCTTCTTGCTATAGGGGCAAAGCAGAATCATTATGTGATGGTCCTCCGTCATCTCATTCCTAAGTTTCTCCAGTCATATGTAATCATAACCAGGGATTTAGGGGTTGGGGGTCAAGGGAAGGGTGCATTCCTCAGAGACAGTGGTTTAGCTTGGAAATTTAAGGCCCCAAAGTTTACATTTCACATGTCTTACCAATGAGAATACTACTTGGAAAAACCACCAACTCAATGAATGAATGATCTACTTGCGTTGAGATTTAAAGAAGGATATCTCCACACCCTCCTGCTATATACATTTGTCACCAGTAGCTCAATTATTGTTTAATTTGATCATAAATTTGCTTCAGATCAGGAGTTTTGAAGAAATGGCAAAGAAAGTTCTAGAAAACAGCGTAAAGCCTTTGGAAGCAAAATCCTTCTTCAGTTTCTCCACATACCTTCATGCCTTGCCTAAAAAATAATGACAAGAGAGTTGGTCTCATAAATGTTCTCAAAAAAGGAATTGATTTGCATACCAACTATAGCATATGAAAAAAGCAACTTTTCCATTGATTATGTGCACAGATATCAAAATAACCAAGTATGAGTTTTATATACATATCAAAATTACAGCAATAGCATTTATCAGTAGTTTTCTTGAGTACCTATTATGTTCTGGGCACTACCTTAATCCAGACAACACTATGAATAACAAGACAGACTCGACTCAAAATGCATATGAATGCCACTCAACACTTCCTGGCCAAATATCAGTCATCATACTCTAAAGAATAACTCTTAAGTCCTAAAAGAAAAAAAAAATAATCATCTGAAACTGTTACATAAGATTTCTGGCTCTTTCCTGACTGTGCAAGCTATCCAACTGATTAGGTTGCTCAAGAAATCTGAAGGCCAATTTCTAGCTAACTAGACCAACAGTATAATATCCTTGCTTCATGCCAGGAGACACTGGACTTAACTCCCTGAAGGTCAGAGGAAAGAAGTCAATCACCAAATCTGGAGAAGTAAACCTAGATCTGCTCTCACTTCTGATTTACAACTTTATATACAGAGTGTTATGTGAGTATTTTTCCCATAAAATATTCAAGGGATTTAAATATGGGATTAGCTACTCAGCCTCGCCACGGCTACTTCTCTGAAGAAGAGGCTGGATGTTTTGAAGGTCTCTTCTGCTTTTCAATTGGTTCCTATCGTCTGGTCTGTATGATTTTCGTGCACTGATATGTCAAGTGTGGGAGGGGTAGGTCTGCTCTCTTAGCCTTTGTTGACTTGTGTGTAAAGCAAGAATTCACCAGTTTGTTTCCTAGGATCAAATGAGTTCTTGGGAATGAAATGTGTGAATTTCATGCATTCTGTATAGTCTGAGTACTTTGGTATGGCATGGTCAGAGACTTCTAGCATGTTGGCCTCTATTACAAATGCTCCCTACCCTGGGAGAACTTGGTGCCAAAATAACTCTTGCTTTTTTTCATAAAAGTTGCTCTTTTAATATGCTCTGGTTGCCAGGAAGCAGCAGAGGCAGAAAGATCCATGAGCACATCCTGAGCACAACGACCAGTGCAGTAGTATTACTCCATAAGTATTTGTTGGGTTATAATTAAATAAAAACTAATTTCCAGTTTCTCAGTTAGAAGGTTAAGTAATCTTCTCCTAGGCTAACTCACACCTGTTTCTCACCCTAAGCTCCTCCAGGTAGTCAGTATGGGACTCAGTGGGAACACAAGGAAGGGTGTGGTCCCATCCACCTGGTTCATGAGCGTCTTCATAGAGGAAGTGAAGCCTGAAAGAAGGTGGGTAGGCCCCAGATGGCCATGGGGAAAGGGCATTTCAGATGGAGGAATTACCCTTGGCTTAAAGTAGAAAAGAAAGGTTTCTGAGTAACTCTAAAACTAGCTTGACAAGAAGAATGTTCCTTCAACCAACTCCTAGGACAACATTTATTATTAACTCAAAAATCTTTCCTCAATGATTGTAGTGGGTTCTAGCATCAGAACTAAATTCCACTAAGAAAATAAAATGCTCTATCTGCATCTGTCCCTAGTGTAGGAGAGCACCAAGCCACCTGGACGTGAGGGAGAAGATTGGTACAGAAGAGCCCAGAGTGGCCTCTTCAAACTTGCCCAGTGCACCATAGGGGACCTGCTGGATTTAGAATTTTATCCAAGACAGGAATATTCTAACATCCTAATACATTTGAAACTTTGGAAAAAATCCCTGCCCTATATATTTTTTGTTCCTGTCACAAGCTTGTTTATCAAAGAATGTATTGTAGCCCAAGTTTACACTGCTGATTTTGTTAAATTCTGTGCAACATAGTATGTCTTTTATTACGCAGAAGGGCACAGCCAAGAATTCTTCATAGGACTCAAGTGAAAACTTCTGTTTCTCCAAGGCATTACTGCCATAGCAAAAATGAGTATACTATTTTTAAAAATGAGATGAAAGAATGCTTTAGAAGGACATGTTACGATCTCCTAAAGGGGGCTAATGAGGGAAACATTCAAGGGCGTAGAAGGTAGAAAGGCACTTGCTCTAGAAAATAGTTAATTTAGGAGTGAAATGCTTTACTGGTTAAATGTCTTTCAAAAGGCTGAATTCAAATCAATTCCACAAACATTTACCGAGTACCTACTTGCCCTGGAGACACGGAGATAAATTAATTTAGGCTCAGACGAGCTCATTTTAACTCCTCAGCCCTCCATTGTGTATAGATCTTTAATTTAACTTTGTTGTATTAGCTAATTGATTAGCTAACTTTAGGGACATTTTAGGATATTTTCTCATAGGAAAATGGTTGCCATTTGATGAAGGATGATTGCTAACAAAATGAATTGTGTTTACACTAAGAGGCTTTTTAAAACAACTATTCAAGGACAGTCTTTCCATAAATAAAAGAAGAAAAAGACAAAGACACCATTCTCTATGGTGGAATCCATTATTTAAGCCACATGCAGAGAGAGGTTTTTATTTTCTGGACTCAGTTGATCATCGGCACCCTTAAAAATATTAGAATTTTATGAATGACCCAGACCTGCTTTGAAAAGTCTGTGTTTCTCAGCAAATACAGAAACCAGGATCAAAATGCTATTGCCACTAACATTTTGACCCCAGCATGGTTTAGATCGATTTGGCAGAGGATTACTTAAATGACTAAAATTTCTAGAAGGAAAGGGAAATGTATGCCTTTTCACTTCCTGAAATGTGTCAGGTTTGGTTCAATATCCATGCGAGAAACAGGGGCTCCATTTCAACCTGAGCTACATCACCCCAGAGAAAATCCCACCTCTGTGTTTGTCAATAATCTCTCTGGATTATAAAAGTTTGGCTAACTCACTGTGAACAAGTCATGGTCAGCGCCAACATTCTCTTACAAGGTATTTTCCCAAGCCCTTACTCAATCCTGTTTCCATGATTGTGACATTGGGGATTAATTCCGCAGGACTGGACTGTTTATATTCTGTACCTTAGGAAAAAAAAAAAATGCAGAAAGAAGTCACTTGCCTCAAGATTTTGTTTTACTCTCCTAGGCTCAGAGTCTTGGAAGTGTTTTGTCATTTTTGGCAGAATTTTGTTAAGTACACATCATTACCCTGGACACTAACTCATTGCATCATATTGGCAGCTGGGCCTAGAAAGAATTCAGTGAACTGTTAACCCCTTGAATCCTTCTGCCCCAGTGGTAAGGGAATGTGGGTGACAGCAGCTATGTCCACACTGTGCCACGCTCTACCAAACTTATTTTCAACTTCCCAAGCTCTGTAGCACATTTGCCTCCTACACTATTTATCTCCCCATTTTAAGATGAAATATCTCCACCAGCCTGGATAGGAGAAGTTACTTGTTCAGGGCCATACAAGGAAGTAAAGGCATCCTACAGCTAAGATGCTATCTTCCAGATTCATGGTCCCAGACTCATCCAATTCCCTCTACTCTTAACAAGGAACATTCATTTAAATGACTGGAGAGAAATTGGAGGGAGAATCTTCACATAAGTATGGGGCAGCATGGAAGTAGGGAAGAGATTCTTCCATGCCTCCCCAGAGGAGCAAGCTGCAATTACAGAATCACATCTCTCTGGCTTAATACCTGAAAGAACTTTCTACTCCAAACCAGAATTTATCCAACTAGTGATTTTTTCAGTCCCTAAAGATATTCAAGCTTATTATCAGGGTTTCTTCGTTGAACCTGTGGGAGGGATGGAGCCAAAGGAATTCTGAGATCTTTTCCAAATCTATGATTATGGGGCCATTTTTTAATTGACTTCCCTGGATTCTATTTAATCATTAATTCTACTTAATCATAATCATTATTCTATGGTATCATTAATGCATCCTTGTCAAGAGCTCAGTGGCTTCCATCCTCAGAGGAGCTATCCTTTCCCCCCTTGTTCAGAGAAGATCCACCACAAAATGACTCTGTGATCTTGGCCAACAGAGAAATGTCCTGGGGCTTTAGAGATGATAGCATCTGCGTCTATCTATTCTAAGTTACATCATTTCAAGGATGAAGAAACCCAGGCTCAGAGAGGCGACATAGAGAATGGCCCAAGGCCAAACAGTAGCTGGTTGGAGTGCCTAGACTAGAATCCGTATCCCTTGACAACAAGCACAGGGTTAGGAGGCACCAGACTTAGTCATGAATCACATTTTTCTGTGAGCATCTGTCACGTGATAGCCTCTACCTAGATGCTAGAGAGTCCAGAGGGAACATGACAGGCCAGTCCTACTCTCCTGGTGTGTATATGTGGAGGTAGAAAATACACAATGTCGAGGAAATAAAGTAGCCGAACTTAATTGAGTGATTTTATTCTTAAAGTCATTAAAACATGTCATTGTCCCCCTTTTCCATTTCAGGGGTGTACAGAATGAACCAATGTAGGTATTTGTGTGGTTTTAGTAATAAGCCCCATGTGCTTTTATTGATTTTATGTTTTATGTTAAAACATCAACCCCAAAGTAAAATGCATATTGTATGATGTTAGCTATGTACTTAACGGTATGCATCCCACATCTTTGGGGCACTACCGTATGAATTCTAATCTCTGTAAATGAAGCCTTGTACGTGTTCATGTATTTAACACATGTAACTTAATAAACTAGCATTGAATTTGAATGCTCATTGTCAATTCTTTTGTTAATCTGTTCATTTGTGTTTCTTTCTAGATTATGGTCCAAGGGTAATCTCTTGGGCACTTAAAAAAATACATTTAGTTCCCTATGTACTTGAACGCAAAATGATAGCTGACATTCATAGGTTATAATAGATCTCACAGCAAATTGACTGTGAAACACCAGACAGATGGTGCCACTCAGATCAGATGAGGGAAAGGGAGGGAAAGAGAGAAACTATAGGGTTCCTTTTATGAATCAGGAGATTCTGTAGTTCAGTAGCTGAATCTCTACCAAACAACCCTGAAATACGGAGGCCAGAGAGACCCATGTCACTACTTGATGGAGATAGAATTAAGAGCTAGGTCAGTCTCTGACACTACACCCTCCTGCCTTTCATAAAAACAGCAATCACCAAAACTCAAAAAGGCTCAACTCCTCCATTTCCCAGAGCAGTAGCCAGGGTCACTGCTGGTGTTTGTCAGTGTTAGGCTAGTGTTGTCAATGTCATACAACATTGCCATTTCTGAGGGGCAAAAGGGGGTACATGTCTGATATGTCACTTGTTTCCACCTAATGGTTGTATGCAAAATCAAACATTCACGGGGCCGGGGGAGGGTGGGGAGCGTTTAAAAGTTTGCCTCCTTGTGGGGAATGGGGGAAGCTATTGATGTCCTTAGGAAATGCAGTTCTCACATAACCTTGAAATTTAGTTCTGGGAGTGATAAGAACAAAACTTTTTATACATGTGGAGAAAAGTGAATTATTTGCCCTAAATATTTAAAAAATCAAGTATCAGCAAAAGTTATCATGCTAGTTTTCTAGTCTAGGTCACCCAAGATAATTTTTTCAATCAATTCTCAAAAGGATTCTCCATCCCTAGGAATGCCAAAGCATGGAAACAAAACTACCCAATGGTCTCCCCTTGTGTTTGTCCATTTGTCCAAGGGGGTATCCAGTGCCCAGTCAGAGGCCAGCTAATCAGGGGTGCTGTCTGTTCTGATTTGTTGGACATGTTTGATTCTGATTGACTGATGCTCAGACTGTACCGGTTGTTAGATATTTTGACAACTCACCCTATTTACATTGATTCCAACCCCCCGATCCCACACACATCATCATCCTTACCATCTTCATCATAAACCATAGTATCAACATCCTAGGATGGAACTGTAGAAGGTACAGTGGCTCATGAATGGGCTGACCTCTGTTCCAGGCCCAGGTCTGCCAAGCTGGAAAATTGTGAGGCCTCAGGCCAACCACTTCTATAGGCCTCAGCTTCCCCTTCTGAGACTCTAGAAGAAAGATGAATGAAGTCCCTCCCATTTGCGGTTTAGAAACAGATCTCAATAATTCCATGTTAGTAGCATGTAAGTTTCAAATAAGTGCATGCAGACATGTTTGCTTATTCAGCACAGGGAATGGAAAGATAAGTGGAACCAAGCTATTCCTCCATGACAGGATCTGTGTTTCCCCTCGGCCCCTCTGCCCTTTGGTGGGGCTTGGCAGCCCCTTCTTCATTCCACATACACCACCCTCACAGGCTGACTGATGCTGGGTCTTCACACCCAGCTTACAGCTAGTGTTTCCTGTGTCCTTAGCCTAGGTCAGGCATTGAGCTCAACTCCGCACACAATGCATCTTATTTCACAATGCAATAGGCCTGAGAGATTAAGTCCACTCACAAAGTGACTCCATTAAACCAAGATTCCAACTCAATGAGGACAAAGACACCCACCTCTCAGTTTATTCTCAACAGTGAGTAACAAGAGCTACCATTTGATGGGCATTTGTAGTGGTAAGCACTTTTCCTGCATCTTCTCATTTAATCTTCAGTCAAAGGTTGATTTCCTGGCTCCAAGGAAATAAGCCATATCTTTTCCTACTGAGGTGGGCATTCCAAGAATGGAGCACCAAATCCTCACAGGATGACTGGGTCTTCCATTCACAGCGGTGACCACTGACTGCACACTCTGAACACCTCAGGGTTTCAAGGATGTACTCCCTTCTTGAATGCCTGGTCCTGCTTCATGCCTCATTCCTGATCCCTGAAATAGAAATACTGGTGCTACCATTATCCTGTCAATCCATCCTGGCCCACACTGGGAAGCCTCATCACTGGCCATCCCTAGCCCTCAGCCCCAGCTACAAATCACAGGATCAGTGGGATCCTTTCCTTTCCCCAGCCCCAGGATCCTGTCACCAGCCACCCAGGCTGGCCTCTAGAGATCCATGTTGACTTTGTCAGTGTTCTCTATTCTGCTTTTATCAACCACAGAAAGATCTGAGCACCTACCCTGTGCCAAGCACTATGCCAAGCACTTAGCAAGCACAATTTCCTTTTATCGTCATGGAACCCTGGAGAATAGGTAACATAATCATTGTGACTATTTTGCAGATGAGGCTCAGTGAAGCACAGTGACTTGCCCAAAGCCACACAGCAGAGTGATAAACCTGGATTTGACCCATCAGCCTCTCAACCACTGTCTTGTTCTGCCTCTTATCTTTGCCCACATCCCTGCCTCTTACCCATTACAGTCTTGGGCAAATCATTGTGATGTGGCCTCTATAAGCATTTGTAAGTTCACTTCTAGCCTGAAAATTCTAGGATTCCAGCTAAGAAGTACCACAATTGTCCTCATGCCCAATGAGTAAGGAGACATTGTACCAGGAACCCTCCCCTCTTCAGGCTGTGCATTCATCCCAGGGGAACACGAGGCACCCCTGGAGCTTCCCCCTCAGGAAAGATGTTAGACTGGCTCCATGGTCACCATAGTGCTTTGCAGAACAGTCGTTCCCAATGTGGCTACACATTGGTGGAAGTGGGGTGGGGGCACATCAAAAAGCCCTGTATCTCAGCCATACTCCAGACCAATTAAATCAGAATCACCAATGACAGAAGACAGACAACAGTCATTCTGTAGCCCTCAAGTAATTCCAGTGTGCAGCCAGAGTGGAGAACCACAATTTTCAAAGCACATGAGAGAAGGAACCAGGTTCATTCTCAGCTCTGCCACTTTCCAGCTATCGGACCTCAGACCGCTGAATTACACTATGTG